CTCACCTTCAAAGGTGTGCCAGCTTCCAACAAAAAGGTAGGGTTGATCTCAGAAGAAAAAGGCCAGAACCTGAAGTCTGAGAAAAATATTTTCAGGCTCTAAAACCTAATGGGGTTTGTCAAGATGGGTATACGAATACTTTAGGGTTGGTGACAGCTTTTTAAATTACACTTTATTGTCTTTGAACAGGAAGGTGAGTACCTGCCATCACTTGCTTACCCTACAATTGTATTTAATGGAAAAATGCTTTTCTTTTTGTTTTTTTAATATTTTTTATTATGAAGATGCGGTCCATATATACAATGGAATGCTACTCAGCCATCAGAAAGGATGAATACCCAACATTTGCGTCAACATGGATCGCACTGGAGGAAACTATGCTAAGTGAACTAAGTCAAACAGAGAAAGACAATTATCAAATGGTTTCAGTTCTTTGTGGAACATAGGCAATAGCATGGAGGACATAAGGAGAAGGAAGGGGAAATGAAGGAGGGCGGGAATTAGAGGGAAAAGAAATGTTTTGCGCTATCACAGGCGTATTGATGAAGAGCTTTTTACCTCCAGATGGAAGTAACCCACTGCCTCACTATACTTGACCTATAAGTTTAGATTTGAGCTTTAGAGGTGATGATACTTAGGTGATGATCTTGATATGACCACTGTGTGGGTGAGTCTGGGGCCGGAGATCAGGACAGACAAGGGCAGTCACGTCCTGTGATTCTTGGGCCTGCAAATAGGAGCCCTGAAAAATCACACATTTAGGAGGAGACCCCTTTGGAATCAGAGCTTGAAAGGCTCATCAACATGTGCAGCCACATTCCTGTATAATATCCGTGACTCCTGATTCTGAGAGTCTAATGAACCCTGATGGATACACATGGATGAACAAAACACCCCATGAGGTCCAGAGAGATTTTGTTGGTAACAGCAAGGAAAGACACACAGAGGAGTCATTGCCATTGAAAGAACACTTCTGGGCCTGGTGTTCACCCATACTCTGCAGCCATGTTTGCAGGATGTAGAACACCAGCCAGTGGAGCGTGGAGGCAGCCCTACAAACTGGGCTGTGAGATGCAAGAGCAGAACCCATGCTCACCTGAAAGGCTGAGGGTGATGAGACCCAAGGGGCATGCAACAGGAGGTCCCTCACCTGAAGTATTACAAGAAGTTTCCTTCTATTTGTGTCCTAAAGCCCCTGAAGTCTTTGCCTTCATGTGTTATATTGTCACAGGTTCTATTGTATGGGTAATGTAGCCTCTCTCAGTAAAGTGAGGGTCAACTCCTTCTCCTGGTAGGGCTTGACCTAGTAACCATGTCTCTGGTATAAATCTCTGCTCCATCTTCTGAGAGTGAAGGGAAAGGTCCCATTTCCATGTAGCTAAAATCTGAATTTGTGCCCACAGTTGCTCCCAATTATGCAATTGCTATTGTTCTGAGAATTCTCTTCAGAAACAGGTCCTGGAATTCCTGGGTGGTGCCAGGTGGTGAAGAGCAGGGGACGAGCACATGGTACACAGCTTGGGCTTGTTCCCTGCAGAGGAATGGGAGGTGCAAGGCAATGCCAGCTGACACTTGGCCATGCTTTCTGAGTACCCAGCAGCATCCTGTGTGAACCAGCCTGCTCCAGGAGATCAGGACTATCACAAGCAGGCAGGAGATGGGAGGCATGTCTCTGGACAGGCTGCCCAAGAGTTGTGGACACGGATGAGCTAGGAAGGACAGCTGTGGTTTTAAGTTGAATCCAAAATCCACCACAGGGAGACCGATGAACATTTCATTTTATGTTTTATAATATTTGATTTATGTATTTGATAGAGAGAGACAGAGATATGGAGAGAGATAACAAGAGAAGGCACAAACGGGGAATAAGGGGGAAGCAGGCTCCCCAATGAGAACGGAGCCAAATTCGAGGCTTGATCCCAGGATCCTAGGTACATGACTGCTGCTGCTGGGATTGTCTGCCAAGACATCTGAAAAATCCTGGAAGTGATACCTACGTCCTCAAGTGCACAGACACCAACACAAGGCACCCACTCTCTGATCTGCAGATACAATTCACAAGATTGGAGGGTGCCTCCCTTCTCCGGAGAAATGCACCTCACACAGGGGCCTCTTAACACTGGGAGGGGACTTGATTTAAAGAAAAGTGGGTAACTGTTCTCTGACACAACACAGAGATCATCACTAACTCAGGCATGGAGTTAATGACACTCAAATAGCCACCCTGAAGGAAATGGAATGAATGACCTGGAGATTATTAGGATCTAAACATTAGGGGTCTAAGAAGAGATTGCAGAGATTATGTTGATATTACTGAAAGGCTTGTTCCAATAGGATAAATCCTGAGCTAGATGAATATATGTCAACTAAAGATCAGATGAAAAGATTACAGGTAGATGATAGATAATTTTGTATTATTTTAAAGACACTAGAGAGGAATCCTATCATTATGAACACATAGGATGCAAATATCCATAATTGCCAATATTTCAAAAATGTATTTTCTTATGAAAAGAATATTCTGATGCCAACTCTAGCATACGCCAGGTAAGAATTTATGTCTTGTTTTTTCTGAGTGACTACAGCTTCCACATAAGGTGGTGATGCCTCATTATAGGTATTGGTTGTTGTATGATTTTTACTATGGCTCTGCAGTAGGTTTTCCTTGTAACAGCTCATGGGAAATGTTTTTGAAGCCTATGTCATAGACGGAATCACATCTTTAAATGGAGAGGAGGTAAGATGAGATCATTTGTGTTATTCAGCATCTTTCAATTATGGAATTGATGAAGGCTCAAGAATACCTAAACCATTTCCCCAGAGTGTGAGGTTATAAGGGTCATTGAGACTCAGAGCCATTGAGACTCAGTGGGGCCCTAAGCATGGATTTGCTCACAGCAACGGAAACTACAGAGCCCTACAGGAAACACCTCACTACCCAGCATCACTTTGTACCTGCCCGTAGGGTTAGGACCTGTGATCAGAGATTTCTGAGGGCCAGAAGTGGCCAGATTCCTCCTCCCTTCCAGGGCTTGCTGTGTCCACTACCTGGTGGTCTTGGGGTCTCACTTCCCTGGTGTCCTGAGCTCTGGGATGTGCCAAACTAGAGCTGTGTCCTGGATCTGGACCATCGTCCCTCTATCCTAACATTTACAGGGCTTACAACCTCTTCCTCAAATATCCGTCTGTCCACCAGGCTTCATCCCTGTGTCCATCATCTCTCCTCCTCGTTCTGGTCCCTTCCATTCATTTCTTGATGATTTACCAATAGTTCACTGTGCTTTTGTCAGACATCCTCACTATAATTGGCAGTGACCAAACGAACTACATATATAAAGCCCCACAGACTCCCCTCACCATGGCCCCGAGTTCATTCCCTTGATGTCATTACGTCCCATCCCATCTCAGCTCCTGACCCTCCAGTTGTGCATTTGAATCTGTAAGTTTCATTAGTGGAACTGAATCTGCCCCCTGCAACATCTGTCTCTGTCATCTATCCATGCCCTGTGCTCCTCGGACAACCACGCAGCGAAGAAGGAACCTAGTACCAAGTGTTGAGGCACAAGTATTCTTGGATATAATTTTAGTACATTTAATCTAATAACCATGGAAATTAGAAGTTTGCAGAAGTAACTTAAATATAGAAATCTGGACCTTACTTACTGTAAGATTCTGTGAGTTTACATGATCAACTACAGCCATGTGACCAAATCTGCATCAAGTTACAGGATGATGCAGTAACCACAGCTCAAATAAATGATCATTATCATGTCTACCCAAACCCTCGTCCTTCCACACCAATCAGTTTTCTGTGGACTTGGTTTTGAGATTCCATATGGAGCAGATGGGATCATCCAGCGTGTAGCCTCAGGCGGTGGCTTCACCCATGTAGGGCCATGAATGTGAGTCACACATGTTCAGGCATGTTCTGGCTCTCACTTCTATTGTCTGCAATTAGTTTTTCAGTGATTAATCATTCGCTGTAAGAATAAATCTTGGTGGCATCCATGGTGTAGGAACTAAAAGACAGCTCCTATAAGCATCTGTGTGCATGTTTTGAGTGCACATGTGCTGTAACTCCACTTAGTTCTGTGGCAAACAGTTGGTGTGGCTGGTCATGAGGTTATGTTTGTGACAAACCTCACAAGAAAGTGGCCCACATGTTGTACGGGGTGCAATTTTGCATTCCCACCGGCAGTACCTTACTGTGTTCCAGTGCCCATTTTATCCTGAGGAAGTTTTGAAGTGCTTTACCTTCACCTCTGAATCATCTCTGTGGATAGCACTGGGAAACAGTCAGACCTGCAGGAAGCACATGGATCACCGACCCTGAGCTTGCTGGGACACACGCTCCAAACTTCCTCTGTAGGGCCCGTAGCAGGCCACGCCAAATGGACGCCAGCAGCAGATTTGTTATTATGCATGGAATGGAATGAGGAAACCACTGCTGCAAGGTCCCTCAGAACTTCCGCTGTCCACCTGAAGGCAAGAGTCAGTCTCCCACATGAAAGATACCCTCCCTGTACTAAGAAGTACAAAGACATCCTTCTCACCAGAGATAGGGACTTTACAGCTGAGAAAGCTGGAGAAACAGGCCTTGTCAATCTTTTACTAATCTCCTACATGGGACAAATTGTGCTTAGAATTGCTCATTAAGTAAAGCTCCCAAATGTCTCTTTTCATTTTCCTATAAATTCTTCAAAAATGTATTGTCTCTACACCTAAAATGTGAAAAATAACTGCCTGCCTATTCATTTCTTAGGGTTTCAATTTCATTACGTGTCCTCTGTGCACATGTTTGTTCACCAGAACCTGTGACAGAGGGAAATTCTTCCTCCCCTTCACCTCCCTAGACTCTGGCTTCAACTGTGGTGTCCTTTTCTGTGTACACAAGAACACTAGAACATGAAACCCACAATGCTGTGTGCTGGGGTGAAGACTGCATAAATCTGCATGTCTGGCATGTGGGTTCTTGATCTTCCACAAGAACCACTCTTACACTATGATGAAGATAAACTCGTATTGCCAGTGAACATGGTGCATTCGCTGGGTCGGCCACTGTCTGTAACACTTAGGTCCAAACCAACAGAGGGCTGTTGTTCCACCAGAGTCCACTTCTCGTCCTCCTGTAGTTTACTGTGCAGGTGTCCAGGGCAGCTGGGAGCCCTCTGTTCCAGACATTCCTGGAGGGGGCACAGGATGTGGCTGCACCCTAACTGCAGGAGGTGTGGGAAAGATCGATCCTCTGAGTGTCCTGGAAGGGGGAGTATATGGATACTGATGTCAGTCTAATATTTTCTGTAATCATGTTTCTGTGAGACAAATAGCATGCCTGTGGATATACTGGTACAATTTACAAGCTTACTTCCCCAAACAAAGTATCCTAGAGAGAACCTGAAGTGAAAATCCTGTTATGGACTTCATAGGTTGTACATATTTCCTGAATTATGGGAGAAAGTCTTATCCCAACGTAAGTTCTGAAACAGTTAATCATAGATTTGAAATAAATTAATATCCTAATTAATTACTGTCAAGAAAATGTAAATATTTAATTCAAAGGAAAATCAATAGCCTTTAAGGTCATTATTATGATTTAGATTTTTATACTAGATAACTGTACAAATAACAAAAATATTGGGAAATGGGTATTATAGTTTCTTGAATGAAAATCCCAAAGGGAATGTTATTTTATGTTGTTCTTGTAAGTGACATTGTAAATTCATCTGTTAAATGTAAGTATGTGAACCATTTTCGGTTTTACAATATATTACCTGTCATGCAATTCATTCCAATAAAACTTCTAGAAACAGCCATATCTAGAAACACATGGATTTGCATGCGCGATAATTCGTCAGAGATTTTTAGTGAAGAGTCATACCAGGGATATTAGGGAACGAAGGACATTCCAATCAGACAATGCGTCCAGCACACTGTCTGTCAATGGTTGTATTTTTCAACCGAAGGAAATGTACAAATAGCATACAAGTAACACAACTGAGGACAGTCCGCTGGTTATGCACAGCAAAAACTGGGAGAGGAGATTTGGTAAAATAGAATAAAATGGAAAACACTGACAGTACACAGTTGTTGAAGAGAAGTCAGTAGTGACACGGGTAAGTGCGAGAGTCTGTGAGGGTCTGCACACCTGGGACTCCTCATCCAGGTTCAACTGGCCCAGTGCACACAACCCAAGGAGAGTCACAGGAGGAAGGTACACTAGATTAGTCATTGTTCCTACACATTTCTGGAGTGTCTGAGATATACCCACAAGACTGCTGCCAACAGACCAAAAACCCCACATTGGGTTTCCCGCTTCTTGGGAAAGACCATCCCAAGGAGCTTCATTCTTAGGTGAGGAGTGGGCCTGATCCTCTTTACCTACAGTGGCACATTTCACCCTGAGGAGAGAGGATCAATTTCATGCAGACACCCCTAGGTTATGACAAGAATGTCAGGCCTCTGAGTGGAAGGGCCATTCCTGTGGCTCCTCTGAAGTCTGGAGTTTGGTGCTGGTTTCATGGAAAATCAAGACAGCAAGCATCCCAAAAGTTATTTATGAATTCTCTAGGGAAACCCAGATCAAATCAATGGGACAAAAGCAGGGACCTGGGAGCAAATGTCGATATTGTCTCATTAGAAGAGATTGATATATTTCTTAGGAATCATATTTTAGGCCATAGATCCCCATTTTAACCTCACATTAGGGCTCTGCCATCGTGGTAGACATTCACTGTTGCGCCTCTCTCAGCATCTGGCACTTGGTGGGGATCTGGGAAGAGTGACAGGCCTCCAGCCCCATGGAGCTCAGGGTCCAGGATAGGATGAGGGGAAAGTTAGAAGCAGGACAGAGTGAAGTCAGGGTGGTTTTGTGTGGGATACTAGAGGGACAGCACATGATGGGCAGGGATCTGGGCTCTGGCAGCTGGATCTCAGGATTCACGTGGATTCCCTGTGTGGAAGCTGGGAAACACATCTCAGACCAGCCCCCAAGGTGTACTCATGGACTCTCCTCCCAGAACAGGACACAGCAGGACTAGGATGGGTTTTCCTCTCCGGCTTGTCATCCCGCCTGATTCATGGGGAGATCTGAGAGCCCCTCCCATCAGGTGAGCTGCTTTTCCATCCAGGAGATGGAGCGGTGCCTACAGAGGGGCAGTTCCTGATCACACGTGTCCACCCACATGAATAATAAGCCAGAGGATAAATTGTAACCAGGAGCACAAGAACTCAGTTGGGCAGTCATCCTGGGGGGATGCTCATAACAATGTGGGGACAGTATGTGTCCCCTTAGGGTATAGAAAGGGCACTCACCATGCAGAGAGCATGGGCTATGCAGGTGCTTCTCAGGGATGATGGAAATTCCCAGCATGTCCTTTTGTGGAGAAGGAAAATGGGACATAAATGAGGTTGATGAAGGGAATTTCCAAGGCTACTGGAGAGAACTCATCTATGTGTAGACAAATTACCTCATTGTGGTTGACTGCACAAAGAATATGAGAAATTAGAGATGGAGAAAAATCATGAAATATCCCCATGGGTAGCTGAGAGCCTAGGGAGAAAAGCCCTGATTTCAAAAGGAAGCCCCACCCTAACTGCACCTGCTGCTGTGTCTGATCTCTGCTCTGTGGATCCTGTGCACTCTCTGGTGCCTTTAGCACCCCTGCAGCTCAGCACATCCTGTGTCCCTGCAGGGAGATTTCTATCTGGGTTCACCCTGAAATCCCCTCACTGTGTCTCTCGCAGAGTAATACATGGCCGTGTCCTCAGCTCTCAGGCTGTTCATCTGCAGATACAGCGTGTTCTTGCCATTGTCTCTGGAGATGGTGAATCGGCCCTTCACAGAGTCTGCATACTTGTGCTACTTCCATCATTGCTAATATCTGCGACCCACTGCAGCCCCTTCCCTGGAGCCTGGTGGACCCAGTGCATGTAGTAGCTGCTGAAGGTGAATCCACAGGCTGCACAAGAGAGTCTCAGGGACCCCCCAGGCTTCACCAGGTCTCCCCTAGACCCCACCAGGTGCACCTCAGACTGGACACCTGCAGACACAAGATGTCCTGGTCAGGAAACTGTCACACACATCCATGGTTTCTCTCACTCATATCCACTCACATACTCAATGTCTCTTGTTCACCATGAATTACCTTTCAAAAGAGCAACAAATAAAACCCTACCAAGCACAAACTCCATGGTGAGTTGTCTGTGTTCTGTCCTGATCACTGATTGGAACACCTGGGAATCCTGGGGCTGGTGCTCCTCTCCCAGCTGCTGGGTCAGGGTTGGGCTGCTTTAATCAGCAGAGGGAGGGCCCTATTTGCATGTCCTCTGACTATATCTTCAGCTTGGGTTCTATAGTGACAGAGAGGGCAGTTATCACATAAGGTGAGACTGCCTTTGATTTGGTCCTATTGACCACTTTTGAAAAAATATGCTTTTTCATTATATAACTTTCCAGTGTATGCTTGGGTGTGTGAGGTGTCCATGAGTCATGAGTCCATATGGGGTGAGGGTGACCTCAGGATCTTGTTGGGTGCTCTTCCCAGGGAGGAGCTGCTGCCCTCCTGAATCACCTCCAGGACAGAGTGTCAGGCTTATGAGGATTGTGCACCCCCTTCTGTAATGGGGACTGGACGATTGTGCTTGTTCTAAAGTTTACTTGAAATACAGAGAGAATCAGGTTTAGTGCAGGTGTATTTTCAAGTCTCTAACATTTTACTATATCTGTGTTCCTCCTGAGTTCTCTCTGTGATTTTCTGCAATAGCTGTGATGCTTGTCCTTGACACAGGATGAACTGCACACGTGCAGAGTGTGTGAAATGATAAACACTGGTGTCAAAATCAACATTATCCAGAGTGATCACATTGGTTCTCCCTTAAATTTCCAGTACTCCCCTGGAATTCCTCCTTCCTTTTCCCTTATTCCCCCTGTCCCCATATAACTATTGACCTTTCTCATGTCACCATAGACTAGCTTTAATTTTGTAAAATTCATAAATGGGTAATTGTATCACATTTACTTTCTTTGTAGGGCTTCTTTGGCTCAGCGTGAATCCTTGTGCATACAACCGTGTTTCTGTGTGTATCAGGAATCATTGGTTTTAATGACTGGCAGCTCTGAAGTCACAGTCTTGGAACCACCAGCCAGAGGAGGATCTGAAGCAACAGAATGAAGCCGCTTGTTTCAAGACTCATCCACATACCCTCCTGAATCAGGGGCTCTATGTTCCAAAGAGAAGAATTCCCTTGTTGTTGAGGAACATTTTCTTCTGGCTGTGGAGAAGGGAACTAAGAGGCAGCAGGAGGTGGACCAGAGAATGGTGAGGTAGAAGCTTTGAAAGTCCAGTCGATGGAGGTGGCCAGGAACCGGGAAGAACAACAGCACAGGAGGAGCTGGTCAGGCTCCAGAAGGAACCTGTGCACAAGCAAATTCAACACTCAGGCATCAGGGTGTAGAAGTAACATCAGTGGCCAGCCTCTGACTGTGCCCGTATCTCCCACATTCTCCACTAGATTCTATGGCTTACCTCAGCTGTGAGCTGCAAGCACCACTTGGGAACAGGAGCTGCTCTTGGCCTCAAAGCAGGATCCTTCTTTCCTTGTCACCAGTGCATGGCGAGGATGCATTTCTGCTGCCACACATCCCCACACCACACAGAGCATACCTGACATGTGTGGACACTCCTTTTGTTGAAAAAGGTTTTCTAACATTATTGAGGCTCATAAGGAGGCCTGATGGATGTGTGTCTCCTATTGAATCCAAGTACTTCTTTACTTTGAGCCCTTGTGGACTATTTTTTTTTAATTTTTTTAATTAACATATAATGTATTATTTGTTTCTGGGGCACAGGTCTACACAATTCACAGCACTCACCATATCACATATCCTCCCCAATGTCCATCAACCAGCCACCCCATCCCTCCCACTCCCAACCACACCAGCAATCCTCAATTTGTTTCCTGAGATTAAGAGTCTCTTATGGTTTGTGTCCCTCTCTGGTTTCATCTTGTTTCATTTTTCCCTCCCTTCCCCTATGGTCCTTTGTCTTGTTTGTCAAATTCTTCATATCAGTGAGATCATATGACACTTATCTTTCTCTGATTGACTTATTTCGTTTAGCATAATACCCTCTAGTTCCACCCACGTTGTTGAAAATAGCAAGATTTCATTTTTTGATCACTGCATAATATTCCATTGTATATATGAACCATGTCTTCTTTATCCATTCATCTGTTGAAGGGCATCTAGGCTCTTTCCATAGTTTGGCTATTGTGGACATTGCAGCTATAAACATTGGGGGCCGCGTGCACCTTCAGACCACTACATTTGTATCTTTGGGGTAAATACCCAGTAGTGCAGTTGCTGGGTCATAGGTTAGCTCTATTTTCAAGTTTTTGTGGAACCTTCATACTGTTTTCCAGAGTCACTGCACCAGCTTGCATTCCCACCAACAGTGTAGGAGGGTTCCCCTTTCTCTGCATCCTCGCCAATATCTGTTGTTTTATGACTTGTTAATTTTAGCCATTCTGACTGGTGTGAGGTGGTATCTCGTTGAGGTTTTGATTTGTATTTCCCTGATGCCGGTGATGTTGACCACTCTTTCATGCATCTCTTGGTCATTTGGATGTCTTCTTTGCAGAAATGTCTGTTCATATCTTCTGCCCATTTTTTGATTGGATTATTTATTGTTTGGGTGTTGAGTTTGATAAGTTCTT